CACCAAGTTTCATCAAAAACCGATGTATGGTTCTTGAGATAGCAGTGGAACAGTCGGACACACATACACACATACACATACACACATACACACATACACATACACACACACACACACACACACACACATACAGACACACTAACTGCAAAGACTCCCATTTTGTGCTTCGCACATGGGAGTCAAAAATATTACCCACACAGTATTCTACAGGTTACTTGTTTATAATTTTGTTTTTGTCTGAATTGCCAGCCAATCATACATCATGCACGCATCTAAATATCCCTTTCCTGTCAGTGGTCAAACTAAAAAAGGGAAAACAAAAATTTATTTTCAGCAGACAAAACTAGGTGGTTGAATTAATAGAAAGACTATAATAATAATAGTAGTTTAAGTGTGTTGTGAAATTTAACAGCAGAGTCAAAACCTATGAAGATGCACATGTGGCAATGAAGTGTCAAGTTTATAGCAAGAAAACAAACATCAACACCATAGCACAAATTATTTGGATAGAGGTTTCTATTTATAATCACTGTGACCCATAAAATGACCAAGGCACACTTTATTTGTGTTTAATCTCAAAACTATATACATTGAATGGTAATTGACCTCTGAGTTCTATTCATAGAATTGCACATATGCATAAAACATAGACACCTGATAAATGGATCGAGTCGGTCATTTTGAGTAAACTTTACAAAGTGATGTGCATCAACTACACATAATGGTTGATTCTACCATCAAGTTTGAAGTAAATCAAGCAACACCTGCTGAGATCTGGTTCCACACATGTCATAATACCTGATTTACTTTTTTTTTAAACTAAAATGGTCAGCCATCTTTGTTTAGATAAGATTATCGTATGTGCATATGTAAACCATGTCCAAAGCATGTAAGAGATACATGTTTAAATGGCTGCCAGTTGGCCATCTTGTGTCAAATTTACCATGCATGACATGCATGAACTGCCAATAATGATAAATCTTTCCATGAAGTTCGATGAAAATCATAGGACACACAACCGAGATATGGCTCCAGAGATGTCAAAGTATTTGATTTTAGTGTTAATCAAACAAAGTGGCCACCAATCGGCCATTCTGAATCAACATGCATTAGTCTACAACCAGTGATGCCAATGTCAAAATCGGTCAAGACACCAAAGAGAAATGGTTGCGACCAAAATGAACAGTAAGGAGGTCAGAGTCAGGTGTCATCAAAATAAGAAACAAATCAACGTTCATATGGTTACCATTATGACTTGCACTGTACACTGTACCTTTGTCGAGTGAAAGAATGAGAGCAAGTCCATCTCTCAGAGTACCTGATTATGCAGATTCCCCCAACCCTCCTACCTTACCAAAGTACCTATTAATAGAAACTCCCAGTGAGCATGCTTTTTGGGGAGGAGGCACTAAATTTGACCAAATTTCTTGAATCTTTTATTTTGATTCACATTCCCTTTATTATGTAAATATTGAAATTCCCCACTTGCTACCGTAAAACTATTTATTTTCACTGGCACTTAATTTTTACTATTTTGATGTTTGAGCAATCAGGGTTGTAAATTTACAAATTTAGCAAAGAATCAATGAGTTCTATTGTTATTTTACATGGATATAATTTAGCATATTTTACTTATTGGCAAAAATACCGAAATTAAAACCCAGTGAATAATTAATGACTTACAGTATTTGGACACAAGCTGGTTTATCCTGAATGAAAGATTACTGTGATGTCAAATGACAATAAATGCAAAGTTAGTAAAAAATATTATCAATAGTGGGTATTGTCTTAAATTCTGATGTACTAGTCAAGTTAATTTTATATGTACAGAGTAACAAGTAACTGTATTACATAGTTCCAGCGAGTTATCAA